AGTAGGTCTGTCATTTCCTTAGAGGAATTAATAGTGCTAGTTGTCAAGGTAAGGTTATTTTAGGAGCATTTAGTAGGTTTTCATCAGCTTTATCATTAAATAAGCTGCCAACACCGAGCACAGAGGGAGCTGTAACTCATTTTCTGCCGACGTGTCATACAACAGCCAAAACCAGGTTAGTTTTACTGTCATGGCCACACCGATTAAAGCATCCTCTTTAGGGGAGATAGAATTATCTTTTCAAAAAGTTCCAATGAAAGGATGAAAACACTTTTTTTCCTACAGAAATTGTAAATATGCTGAGGAGTTACTTCTCAACAATTCCTGACTGATTTTTCCTGCTGGTTATGGTGCAGTTCCTTTATGAGCAATGCAGAACAACAGCACATCTGCCCTCCGTCTGCCTGCAAATTCTGCTTTCGCAGAGGCATTTATGTGGCCTAATAAATTCATGGCGTAAAGTTCACATCTCTTGCAGTCAGTAGGGCTCAAAATTCAAAGATGATGTATGAGAATTTCATTTTCAAATATCCATGTTTTAGTGCAGTGTTCTAATAAATATTCCAAGAAATTTTAGAGAAACAAGATGATTCACTGTACTAAAAAAAAATAATAAAAATATTCTACGTATTTTCCAAGCCTGACACTCGTTATGGAGTAGAGAGCTATGAAGTCCTGTGCTGTCTTCCTTGTGAGCAAAGGGAAACAGGGATACAGAAGTGTTTGCACACCACACATATGATTAGCAAAGATTTCTTCACAAACCAGGAATATGCACAGGATGCTTGGGTGATTGGATGGGCCTGTCATCGAATAAAAATTCAGAAACCGAAGTCATGAACAACAGTGGCCAGTCCCAAATTTTTTGTCTCCAGAGAAAACTGAATGTTACTCAAAAGAAAAAAGGAGAAGAAATAAGTGGTCCATCATGGGTGGTACCGATGTCTTGCGTAACCTCTGCTGTTGGGGGTTGTTTCCACCCTAGCACATGCCAAGAGTGGCTCTCTACCAATATACAAGCAAGACAAGGCTTACAGGAAGAGGTAATACCTTTTATTAGACCAATTAGGATGGCTGGCAAAATGAGACAGGATTTCAAGTACATATAATACCCTTCTTCAGTGGAAATAGAATTCTGTTCTTCAAACAAAACAAAGAATTCAAGGTCAAGTACAGGTTGGAGTCAATTGTTCAGAGCTGGATTAGATACATATCCCATCATTTTTGAAGCAGAGGTCATTGTTTCCTGCAGACTAGAAGGAATGTTAGTACGAGGCAGCAGAGAGATGGTAAGCTGGTTACATTCTTGGGGAAAAATCAAAATAGGCAGTTTATAGCCTCTGGAACGTGGAAGAACTAGTAAAGGAGAAAAGGGAAGGGAAAATGCGAGTATCGAGTCTGGGTTTTGGTAGTGGTACATGGACCCACGGACCTTGCCGTACCCACGGCCCAGCTGTCCAGAGCTGAGCCTTGTGCTGCCCCACGGACACCAGCAGCCAGTGAGCAGAGCGCGGTACGTTCACAAGAACAGCAGAGCACACGGGTGACTGTTGAAAGGGCTGAAGATTTGCTCAAGAAAAGGGATGTTTCACAGTCTTTGCTTCAGGGAGTTTCTGTGTGGTCCTGCCTGGTCCGTGGTGTCTCGGGCTGCGTGTTAGAAAAAGTCTGCATAAAGGCAGCCCAGTGTATTTACTAAACATCCTCATCTTCACAGCTTTTAGCATCATCGGTGTAAGTACGCCTCTACATTTAGACTTCCCTGATTTTTTTCTCTCTGGGTTTTACGGTCTTTCTGAACCATTTGTTTCCCCACCATAAGGGAGTTCTCAACTGAGTTTAAGAAAACCGCAATGGTCACAGTGCCCCATCCACGGGGCAGAGCCCGGGGCCACAGCCAGCGCCAGCCCCGGGCTGGGCCTGCGGCACCAGGGCAGAGCAGCCCCTGCACAGCGCTCGCCTGCCCTGCCGCAGCACCACAAACGTCGCGGGGGTTCCACTGTTGCCACCTCATCTGTTCGTGTGCCAGGCAGCTCTCGGGACAGCACAGGAGAAGAGCGTTGCTACCGACACGCTCAGCCGACGTGAGCGCGGGGATGCCTGCAATAGAGTATACAAGGAGCGTGCTTTGTGGTATTATTTATTTAGGAACTGTGAGTTTAACTACAGCCGTAGTGTTCTCATCTTTGCAATTCTGATGGTTTAACAAACCGGGAGAACATTAGCATGTTTTTATTAAGGTACAAAATACACCCCATTGTTGCCTAAAACATTTTAAAAAAAAACGTGAGAAAAGCTCTGTATGCTCTAAATCAGATTCAAACCCTTTTCTGCATAAGGAATCGTGGCAATACTGTGTTTAGTATAACAAGAGGTTTTTATCAGTTGAAAAGGAAAAGACATGCTGGCGATCTGTACTTAGCGACAAAGAGTAAAGCAGTTAAAAACCATTGTGTCATCCACATGAGCTGAGCTTTGAATGTAGAAGAGCAAATCATATGAAACACGTACACAACTAGGTAATATCAAACAACCTAAGGTTGATATTGTACACACCTGTATTAAAGTACACTGACTACTTAACGGTGAGGATTTAAGGTAACGCTTTTTTGAAAAGAGGTAACCTTTGAAATGCAAATGGTTGCACTTTACACACAAAAAGTGGAAAAGAAGAATCACTTTTGGAATGATACATAGATATAAGACACACTGGTTTTGGATTATGCATATCACCTTGCAGCCTCTGACATTACCTCTGAACAACACAAAAAAACCCCACCCTAAAAGTGCCAATACTGTGAAAGGAAAGCAAAGTTACTGAGTGCATTAACCACTTCTGAGATAAAAACTGGGGGGGTTGATTTTTTTTGTTTTTTCTGCATTTTTAAAAAATGCAACAGCCTTACTGGTGCAGGTTCAAGACAAAAACAAGACGGTCAAGCTCATAAGGTAGAAATAGGCCCTATATAGGTTAAGATTCTTTGGAAACTGCTAAGTATAAAGGAGTTTGTAATCCAGGCTACTATCTTTTTGGCTACTCCAGAAATCTTTGGGAGTTTCCAGCTTAGCATCAGTTGAAATCTGTTTTGCAATTGCCAAATAAATGCAAGTAAAACTTTAGCTAACCTGGGATTCCATACACACACGTGCACGTAGAAGTCGCTGATTGTGCAATAACCTGTTTTTTCACAGCAGCATACATACGAATCATTAGTCGTCACTAGACTGACCAGAACAACAGAAAATACTCTCGGTCTTTGTGTTTTCAGTCTGTTTCTTAAGCAGGCAGCTGCAACTGCACTGAAGTGACAGGGAAAAGTGTCAAGGTGTGATCAGCTGGTTACAGGCAAGATCAGAAGCATCTTGCAAAACCACCTGGGTGTTTGCCTTCAGCCAGTATTACGACAGCATTAACAGTGCACTGAGAAAGGGCAGTAAATGTCTTTGAAGGTAGGACTGTTCAATTCTGTTGAAAACAAAACAAAAATCAGCCATAGCAAGATACAAATTGCAATACTGGCTCTGTTAGACCTTCCCTTATAGAAGATGCTGCTCAGGGAGCAGCCTATTTCTTAGGACTGGAGAGATTCACTGCGTGTCTGGCAAATGATCCCCTGTGAAGCAGATCTCAGGGAGCCAACTTAGCTGCAGTTTTGGCCAAGGGAAGCGATGCTACAGAGCAGTGAGCTCAGTAAATAGGCTGTTCTCTGTAAAACGTTCAGAATACAACCGTGGACTCGTTTTTCATACATGTGATTTTAAAAGTAGACTGGGCAACATAGTTAATGGCTTGCTTAAAGTAAATCCAATCGTGCTAGCAAGTTAAAATTGCCTGCTGATTTGAATTAATGCCCATACCTAAAGCAAACAGGTATCAACTGATCATGCTGAAAAAACAAACCCCCAAAGACCTATGTATCACACAAGGTGCTTTTGATAACTTGGTTTTCTGAGCCTTATAAGGAGAGTCTTTAAATATATTTTTTTCATTTTTTTTTTCTTTGAGCCTTGTTTCATTCTTCCTCCTCCTCATCTTCATCTTCTCCTTCTTTTCCCATTGTTTCCACAAGGAGTTCTGCGGTGCACGTGGCTTCCCCAAGGCTGTTAACAGCTTTGCAGGTGTATTTGGCATCATCGTCCCCACATACTTCAGAAATAGTCAAAGAACAGTTCCCCTCCTCATCATAATCTATCTGGAAGTGGCGGGACTCCTTGACGGGCTGATCGTCTTTGTACCACATTACCTCAGGGTCAGGATAGCCTGCGATAGCAGAGAAAGAACAGCTATTGCGATGAACAAGTATTAACTAATCTGTAATTTCTTTAACCTCTAATTCCCCATCTGTGTATGGACATGCCAATACGTTGATACACAAGTATTTCATTCAATTCGAATTAAAATAAATGTAGGTGACATGAGGCTTTTTTACATCACATTTACCTGATCCAATTTCAACAGCAAAAAATTGAAAGTTAGCACTGAGGTACTCACTAGATTTTTCTTTCCACTCCTGTAGCAGTGACTGCCGACAGCTTTGTGTGCGTCTTGGACATCAGCCAGCCAAGGACTCCTGATAGTGTTATTTGAGGCTTACCTTACACTGCAGCTTTTTTGGGAACCACAGTCCCCAGCACCAAGATTTAGAATTTCAAGGGTAGAGTGTTTTGGATTACAACTACAATTTAATATCCTTCTCAATTGCTTCATTGTGGCTGTTCTGAATCTTCCTTCTCCTAGTCTGCTCCTGCACACCAGCCTGTGCCGTGCGGTGACCGTGGCACCCCCACTTCCTACTTACAGGATAAGTGAGGGAGTCTAAAAAAGCATTTTGATTATGCCTCTCCAGGAGTTTTGGAGCCTTTTTTGTAGCAAATGGCCCTGCATCCAGAGCAGGGCTGTACAATGCACGTTGGAAACTCCCTTATACAGTACTCTTGGCAGCTATAACAAATTGAAGGCTTGTTGTCTCAGCCAAGTTCTGGACTGTGACAGGATGATGGCTTCCCACTGAGCGGAACTCCCCAGTACACAACGAACATTACGATGATAAAACTGGAAAGTTTGGGACACCAGCTGTAGTCCCTCTATTTTATTCCATGCAGTACTTGAGCACATACCCCTCATGCTGAGCATCCTCCAGCAACAATAATCCATCCTCACATCTCTGCTGTGAGGTAGGAAACGAAGGCAGTGAAAGGGATGAGGAGCACAGAAACAAACAAGCAGAAGGTCAGTGAGACAGTTTCTGAGCCTCATTTTAAGATCATAAATTGTCTAACTTGAACACATGCAGTACGGTACAGACTCTCTCCATTTTCTTTTAACTGCTCTTTCCAATTTCTAATTTTCATCAACTGCTGTGACAGGGAAGCTTCAATCTCTTTGCAACTCAAGTGCTACCAGTCTTGGCCTTCAAACTGTTAGGCTGGTCCAGCCCAAGCTCTTTAAGTGCCTTCTCATGAACTTATGCTTTTTATCTGCATATTCCAGTCTGAGTTTTCTTTCTTGAACATGGAAGTTAAACCAAACAGCACTGTCTAGATGTGACTTTCGTAACCAGCACTATAATACTATCATTATTTATCATTGCTTCTCATGCAAAGAGAGGCAAGGGACTTCCTTGCCTTTAATACAATGTGTGTATGGCTTAAAATTATCTTGAGGTCACCTGAAACTTGTCTGTCATTTCAGAAAAGTGACTTCCTACTTAATATTGTTTTCTGGTTAGCAGTCCGTAAGAATGTACTCCTGCAATTTATTGTACTACTCTGCCTCTTGTTTTTACTTTCTACTCTCAGAAGTCATCTTACTTTCCCACTCACTATTCTGAATTAGCGATTCACACATTTGAGTCTTGGAAGATTTCAACTCTGTGGCAAGCACAGAACAAGCCCATACAGCTCCAGAAAATTTCTTTTATTGCAGCACATTCATGCTGTGACATGCAGATATTGGTAGAGCAAAACAGCACCAACCCAACAATAATCCAGAGAAAAAATTGAAAAAGTTAGAACAACACCATGATGCAGAAAACAGGCACGGAAGGGAAGAAAGAAAGAGAGACACTAATTCAAAGTACCTTCAATTTTGCAGTCAAATCTAGCAGCACTTCCTTCCACAACTTCAATGTCAAGGATTGTTTTAGTAAAATATGGCTTTACATGGGGCTTTTCTTCAGCCACTTCTTCAAGGAAAGCATCTGGAGGAAAGCAAAGAGAGAATTATTTTACAGGGCACGTTCTCAAAAGATGCATTTCAATTTTTAATTACCAGATGGTAATGAAAGCATCTTTTATTTCACTTAACTCTGTGAGGCTAGTGGGACAGTAAGGATATTAGCTGCTTAGTTCTGTGCCAGTATTTCGCAGCTGGACAACGATTCTGGCCATAAATAGAATGAAATGAACACGCAGGCCACCAGGCTAGAAATCATCTTGATTTTTTCATTGATTTTGTTTCTAACTGAACCTGGACTTTTGCAAGCCAGTTCCACTTGTATCAGGCCCATATCTATGTGGAAATATCAAAATGACTCGCTTGATTTCCACAAGTGTCCAACACCTGCACCTCTGACTGTCACACACCACAAATCCACATTTCAAATGGGGACATGGGAGAATAATGTAGACACATTTTTTTTCTTTTTAAATACCTCTCTGAGGAGCACGGTTAATGCAGAGTACATGCTTGGTTACAGCAAGTGTTAATCCTTTATTGCTTGCTTGCTTGCATGAGAAGGCAATACATCATTGTAATCTTTGTATAAACATGCATTCCGAACTGATAGAAAGCGCAGCTGACATATCTGCCTTAATTCTTCGGCTTTAAAAAGAGAAGAGTTTACTGCGCGTACTTATACTGGGGCATTCTGAGTAGCAGAAAAATGAATTTTTGATAGATTTTAAAAAAAATAAGGATTAAAACATAGAGAGGGAGAGAGAGAGAGCAGGAATAACCAACTCAGTGATCAGTCTCTACCATTTTGCTAGAAGTTTTAACAAGATTGATTCATAGAGAGGTAAAAATACAGTGCAGAAAAATTCCTTACCTTCATTTTCTACTTTGTCTGCATTTATAGGGCTGGTAGGCGAGCTTCCAGAGGCCTTCCTCCCACTCATACCAGAAATCATTGCCATGGACGACAGTCTTCCTATTGCTCGGACAGCATGGCCTGTTTTCTAAGACATAACATAAAAGGCTTCTGATCAATCCAATCCAAGAGGCATGTGATTTTCTGTAACAATCGTGCTTCGGACAAATTATCTGGGATCTCTGCAAACCTCGCTGGAATTGTTGGACAAACTGCTTATATATAGCTCTGTTGTTTTAGGAGAGACAGAGCAGGCTGGTCTGAATTACCAAATTTAGTTGCAAATATAAACTTCCCCTGATGAACTCATACCTAAATGAATGTCTCTGGTAGCTGGGGATAAAAAGCACTGTGCGAGAGGAGGGCCAGCAAAAAAAGCTACGTCCTGTTTAACTGGAGCTTTTAACTCTGGTGGCGGACGGCTCTCTCAGGAACCGTATGGGCTGGACCGAGCCTCATCAAGGGTGAATAACCAGCTGATAGGAAATGAATGAGAAAGTACCATCTGCATGATGGAAGCAAACCTCTAACAGGCTCAAGAATCAAGTGCCAGGATATGCTCAAAGTATGCTGCCTCTAGTATGGACACTTGTATTTTTTGTACAGCTTGCATGAGCTGCTAAGAAACATGTAGGGTAGAACGTAAAAGGAAATACAAGGTACATTTACATAAATGAATACTTTGTAGGCTACTGAAAGGGCTAGATCCCTGATTTTATACATCGACTCCTCCAGCTGTCAGAACAGCACAGGTGGACCCGCTACAGCAGTTCCAGCATTAAGAAAAAAGAAGATATGAGCACCAAATACATCAAAGAAAATAATTCATGAGAGGTTTGGTGCTCCAACAGGACAGAACAATTGGCTTAGGAGAGTGAAACTACCACAAAATGAGGTTATCTTTAGAAAGGCCAGGTGGATAAGGTTTTACCTAGCTGGTCCGGTTGGTTAATCCCCCAACCCTCAGTGCCAGGGAGGAGATACCCCCAAAAGAATAGGGAAAAATATACTTGAACTCATACGCCTTTTAGTAGCCTGAAATGGAATCATCACGTGTTACATATGTGCAGCCGTGCCCCCTCCTACTGCTCTCCCATAGAAGCCAAACCAGCTTTACCGCATTCACACTCTGGCCACGCTGGAGTTTTCACCAGCAGCAGAAACCACCTGGCATGACACGTTTCTCAGAATCATGAACATTAGAAATAAAGAGACTAATTAGGATAACTAGCCCAATTCTATGTTCTCTTCGTTACCTGCCATTTTCTTCTGGCCATATATTTCTTCATCCTATCTTTGGAAAGTTTTTTGGCTTCCATGTTTTTGGTATCTTTTTGCAGCCAAGGATGTTGAAGGCATTGAGTACAATTTAAGCGACTCCTGTTTTTATATAAAAAGACTAGTCAGTGTTGCCATTAACGATAGTTGAACCTTCCTGCTTTAACATTATTTTGTGCCCTCTTTTCTGAGAGCTGATTTTTCTGTTCCCTAAATTTAGATCCCACAGAGATCACATGGCACTGCTTTGCCAGCCAGGCTTACTTAAACTCACTTTCACAATTTCTGTAGGGTTTTTTTGGAGAGAAAACTGTGCATTTTTAAGTGTTAATAAAACATTATAAAACAAAGCACGAAAAGCCATATGTTTTAGGCATGGAACACATACAGCAGAGCCACAATGGCAATGATTCAGCTACCTCCTGCTGGCAGAACCCTTTCCCAGATCTCCTTTCCTTTGCTTACAGAGATTTCCCTTTTCCCACCACTTAATTCCCTCCTTCCCTGCAGCACTGAACATTTAACAAAATACAAATGTCCAAATCTCTAATCAAGCCACACCCATTCTTCACTTTGTTCTTGGTACACAGAGAAGTAACCCTCTGTTCTCCATCTGTCCAATTGCAACCTCATTGGAAAAAGTGCAGTTTCTTTCCCGGTTTGTTCAGAGTCTGCCGTAAACAGGGCTTTTTTTTTCTTGCCCAGTTACTAGATTTATAAGAAAGCTGCCTACTCAGAGACACCGCGCTTAAAAGCAGCACACAGAAATAAATCTGGCAATATCGCAACCCGTTCCGATCAAGACAGAACATGCCATGCAGGAATCTGTGTCGCACAGCAGCAAAGATAAGAGTAGCCACACAAAACCTCGGGGTGATTCTTGCCCAAGGGAAGGGGGAAGCAGAACGAGCAGGCAGTTAAAAGAAAGCGCTCCATTCATCCCCTGCACCCTGCGCGTAAAATAAATGAGAGCTGCACAAAGAGACAGACGGGCACGCAGAGCTCCTTATAAAGTATTGCCAGAGGTGCCTGTGCCGACGTTGAGATTCACAGTGGGGAAACGCGAATGACAAGTTCAGCTAAATGCAAACATAGAAGGCATATCAAGTCCAGCAGCTTTACTTCATATCTTTCTTTAGTAGATTGCTGATAAAGTCCTTGGCATCATCAGAGATTTCATCAAAAGCCTCATCATCGAAGTCCCACGTTGCTGAGGTAACGTTGGCTAGAGTTTCGTTGTCGTTGTCTCCCATGAAAGGAGAAAGTCCACTGACCCTGGGGACAGAATAGACAGGCACAACACCAACAGCGTCAATTTGCAGAATTTGACAGGAGCAAATTGAAATCCTGTGTGACATCTATGCTCTGCAGGTCTTTTTCAGTAAAAGCTCCCTTTTAAAAAAAAAAAACACAACAAAAAAACTCAACCAAAACTCAAAGCTAACTATAGATAGTCTTTGGGGAGAGAAACTTGAATTTTGCCTGCAAAACTGAAAGGAAAGTTTTTGCTATTTCTTTCTCTTTTCCCAAGACATTTTTGAGCAGAGAACTAGAATTAGGTGAAAGTGGAGCATACTAGTTTGTTAAATGACTTGTCTAATTCTGCATAAATAATACTGCAATTTTCACACCAAATTCAGCTGAATAGCTTTATTTTTTCTTTCCTAGTGCTTTCAGAGTGACTTTGCTGCTTTTACTGTCAAACCAAGTTTTTTGGTACATTTTATTCCATTTACTCCTGCAGAGAGAGCCCTGCAAGAAAGATGCATAAAGAAATCATGAAATTCACAGGGCTATTTTGTAAACAAAAGCACCCTGAACTATATCACCAGATAAAAGAGTGCTACATCACTGCGGGCTGCAGAGTTACGCAGATGCCTCCAGAAGTAATTTGGTCTTTATGTCCTCAATCAGTCATGATGATGCATGAAATGAAAATAATACTCTTTCATAACCTAAGTTGAGCTTCTAAGACTTTTTTACTTAATGTAACTGATAAATTGCAAGTGCAAGGCAACTACAGAACATCACAGTGTCATTTTTGCAGAGTATCTTTCTCCAGTTGAGCGCTGTCCTTTATTATACGGTACCTTTGTGCATCCTGATACTTTCGATTCCTGTATGTATCACACTTTCAGTAAAAACTTTTAGGAGAAAGGTTGCTTATTCCTTCAAACTACAAGTTACTCAGTTTTTCAGGTCTTCTTCCTGGCACTCAATGTACATAATAACCTTCATGAAATTTTACAGACTTTATTTGCTTTTTCTGCACAATCATGTTATTACAACAGCCAGTTACATTTCAACTGTAATACATTTTTTAAAAAATACAGAAAAATAAGTGGAACTTAATTTGGGTTCTGAAAATACTATATGAATATAATACTATATGAATATAATACTATATGAATATAATACTATATGAATATAATACTATATGAATATCACGATACTACTGAATATCATGGAACAGACTGGTAGAAAAAGAGATTGGGATCAAATAAAAGTGAGTTACTAATTTAATAATATTAATGTAATATAGTAATAATATGTCCTCCTCCAAAGTTATTTTGCTACTTTTTTGTTACTAATTACATTCAAAGTCTGATGTGGAATTTATTCCTAATGATTTTATTTCTATAAGCAAAGCAGAAACACACACTCTTTGAAGCTTCAGACAAAGCAGATACTAAATCTTTTACCATTTCTGGAAGTTGTGTGAAGTACAGCAGAGTCTAGAATCTTACGTGTGTACTTCAGAAATTTTTTAGTAATAATACATGAGATGAAGATAAAAGGTTTGTTTCTTCTCAGGCAGAAAGCAGTAAATCAGAACAGAAGGTATTTGCTGTCTTACATTATATGGGGTGCATTGAAATTCAACAGTGAAGCATGACTCTAAAAATGTATAAGGTAGCATAAACCCATTTATGAACATATAATAGGCAGGAGTTACAGAAAGCTGAAAGATTAACATCCCAGAAATGCTCATATAAAACAACTTTACCGCAACTGTTCTTTGTCTGACACTTTACTGGAAGAGACAGGGTTGATGCCTCATGGCACTGGAAAGCTGGTGTAGCTGCAGCGCAGTGAGAGACTGTTCTGCCCTCGTGCACATCCGCTGTCACGGGCAGGTAAATCTCTGAAGCAAAATCTCTGCCCTGGAACCCACAAAGCACTCCTCCAGGGCCTTAAACATATCTCCACTCCAATATTAAAGTGTCTTCCTATTTGTGACAATGTCATCATTCTCTACAATGTTTTAGAAAGTGAAAAAATCTCATCCAGGCTGCAGTTCTAAATTTTGAGTTCCCGATACTGATTGCTAAGCTCTCTCTTTTTTGACATTGCCCTAAGTACAATAATCTCTCAGCCAATTCATTGGCTGCTAAAAAGGTTCACGTCTTATATAAATGAAGGGTCTGTGAAGTATTTCTTTTGTTCACCGTCAATACAGGAGATGCAGGTCTTCCCTTCATCCAGTTAAGTTTCCAGGGGACACACTTGGGCAGCCAGAGCAGTAACAATCCCACTTCCCTTCAACACTTGATTGAAGTATGGCAAAGGTGACTTCTGCGTAGTATTACCACAAATAGTATTGTGCAGCTCTTGTGCTACGTTAGATAATATTTTGGCCTATTTCCAGAGTTTAAAGCTGGAGTAGTGAGAGAGCGTTTCCATGCTAAAAAGGCTGCTACAGGTACGGAGACAGTGCTTCGTGTGGAAATACCACTGCTCCACGCTGGCATAAGATGTAGTGCTTACAGCTTCCTGGGCAAAGGGCTACTGCATGTCATAGCTTTTGAGGGAGGAGGATAAATAGGAGGAGATTAGGGAGAAAAAAAAACGCCTTTGGTTGTTGCAGTTGCCTATTTTTTTTTTTTAGCATTGTGTGACAGAATTATGTGATAATATCTTAAATGCTATGATAGGATTGATCCATGCTATGCACTTGGTAAATTACCAGATGTGTATCTGTTAAGCTGCTACTCACTTTGTTATTTCCAAATACCAGTGTAACAGTACCCATTCAAATGTTTCAATGAACTTACCTTCGTATTTTTGAATGTGCTGTGGCAAATTTCTAAGGCTATAATAATTTTCTCTCTCAACCATAGTTTTAACACTGTGAGTCAGTTTCATTGTCATGGAAATACTTGTAATGAGAGCTGGATCCTTGTCTATAGTCAGAAAACAAAATCCAGTAACCAGTGTAGATTATGACCAGAAATTCTTATCTTTAGCACAGATTTCACTGACCTAAGTCTGAGTTGTTCATTTCTTAATAGCCATTTAAAGTAATAATGTCCCAGCAACTCTTTTGACAGATTATGGAAACAATCTCTTTTTGGAATGCTGAAGCTAAGTGATAAAGATGAGCTACTGCTCCAGAACATTAATACTGAGCTTACAGTTACTATTAGACAAGCAGCAAGTTGTTTACTGAAAACATTTTTCCAGCTACTTAACCAGGCATCTTCCTGGCATGTTAAGAACCATTTGTTTAGAAAATCTTTCACAGTTTCCACTTCTAAATAAAGAAGAAAGATATTTTATCCTCTACGAGTTCCCTAGCATTTATTGGTCTGTTCTAACAATGCTCTGAGTGCAGATTTAGAAACATGAAGATCAGAAGGGTCCACTGTGGTTGCAGATCTTACTGCCTGTGTAACAAACCCTGCAGCGTTTCACTTTCAAATCTTTGCATTAAGGCTGTCTCTAGCCCAGGAAATGTGAGTTTGTTGCATGTCTCAAAAAGTCAGACTGAGCATTCTTCTGTAAGCAATGTGTGCAGCAGCAGCTGCTTTGGGCTGTGCTCCTCCTTACAGGCTTTGCATTGTATTAGTAATAAGAAAAAAAAGAAACGGATCTCAGTAGTCCTGTCTACTTCTGATAAACCTGAGCAGGTCGTGTCAAAAGAGCACATGATAATGCCTGCACCCTGGAGATCAAGTAGTAATTTAATTCTCTTACAAGTGAAATAAATAAATAGTCTCAAGCTACTTAGTGGTGGATTTGCACCCACCTTCTCCTTAGCTGACGGCTGACTGACTCCCGTACTGGCTATCTCAAGGAAGAAGCAGACCACTGAACCCACGTAAAGGAAGGCAGCTCATTGTTGAAGCAGAGGTGTTGCTCCATTCTCATCCTTCTTTCATGTGCCCAGTGGATTAACGAGGAATCACAATTTGCCAGTGCCACTGAACAAATAGTTACTTTTCTTTTGAGCAGTACAGTTATGACATCAAAGCCCTCCTAACTTGCTTTATTGAAAGAACAAACAGTGCTCTCTCATCTTTATATTAACAAGGCTTAAATTTTTAATACGACATGGAGCCAAGTAGCGTGAGTGTCCAAGTAGCCCAGCAGCGTTGAGTGTCCTGCCTTATCAAAGTCCCGTGTCAGCACACCCAAAAGATGAACGATGTCGAAAGGTCTTTCAACTAGCCCAAACTGACAAACAAGGGATCAGCTAGTCTGAAGAGATACACACTACCTGGCACTGATAAAGCCAGAAGAACTAATGGAAAGGAAGCAGAGGTTTGAATCAGCCACAGCAAATTCCTCACTAAAACTCATCAGATTCTATAGTGGCAGGACAAAAAGGGCTATCCACTTTCAGTGCACAAACATACAGCACTGAAATAATAAATCAAAATTTGGTTTGAAATAAAAATAGAATTCAGAGATTGTTTCAGATTACTAAATATCGGAAATGCTGGCTATCCAGATAAAACATCAGAAAAGAACTAGAAATAGAAAAACAACAAACAAATTGAGCAATGCTCTGAAGAATAAATGGGACAGAAACCGCTGGAAAGAATTCAGGAGGTTTAACCTTCATTTGATAAAGATTATTGTAAATGCAAAAAGAAACAGTGAAATATACATAAATGGAGATGATATACACAGGCTGTAATATTTGTGGCCTGTTACTGCAAAGGCAATAGATCAACTTAAGTATGTGGGACAGTTCTGTGATGCAGAACAGGACAGGGAGCAAGATAAAAGCAGAAGATAAAAAGCATGAGGTGGAGAATACAAACAGGGAAATTTAAGGAAGAACAGAGACTGATGAAGAGACAGGACTGACTAAGTTATGCAAAAAGATTAAAAGGATTTAGTGTGTAGGTTAGAAATGTGGAAAGGGAGCCCCTGAACTGTAGGGTGGGATTAAGTCAGCCATGCCATAAGGCAGAGAGACACAGCATCACGACAGAGAGTGCGGTATCTGTACTTAGCCTGCAGAGCAGAGGAGCAGGAGACAGGTTTTGCTGCAGGGATTTGGAGCAGTGCTGTCACCTTGCTTCCTGCTGGAGACTACATCCCACCTGTTTCTTCTTCTGCAGGGAAGACCCTTCACCCAGAGACATCTCCTTGAGCAGCTCTTTGCTAACCCTGGTTTGTATTCAGTGTTGTACAGGACATAATGGAAACTCAATCTCCTTCTAGGCAGGTTACAGGTCTCTCAGCACTCTTGAATCCTACATTAAAGGAGGCGTTATGCCAAGTCACACAGCAGCAAGATGCTCCCTGCTGCTCCACTCAGGATCCACGGGCGACACGGCAGCTTTGGGCCATCAGCTGCCTGTAGCAGCCCTTAAGCCCAGCGGTGCTGTGTGCTCACCTCCTTCACAACCCCACTCACCGCGTCGGGGGCAGGAGGGATGCAGGTGCTAAGTGACAAGCACAGCGATAGTGTGCGAGATGGACACCAAATGAGTGAGTCTTACACTTTGTGCTTGAGATTTGGCAGTTCTGAGCTTATAATCAAAACAGAAGCAGTGCTACAACTAAAGAGAGATGCAGTTTTGAATGACTTTTATTTGCATTCTGTAATGATGATGTGATGGTCCATTTTAGTTAATGGCTCATAGTTCTGAGTCTGCAAAAATAGCTGGGCTTTAAGGAAGTGAAGACAGATTGGGAGGCTGTCACTCTGTAGTGGAGCAGGCAAGTCCAAGTGATGACTCACAGGTCTTCCCTAACTACTATTACTTTATTATTATCATTGCAAGAAAGACAAAAGCTGATAATTACTGTTAATCATTATTGTGGCAATAGCTGTGCAGCAAAAAGAGGATTTTCTTTGCATTTAGGTAATGTAATTATCCCCACATGAGGAGTTAAATGAGCTTAAATACACCTTAGCAAACAAGTGATTTCATAATATATTTCACAAGGCATACTGGGTTATCTGAATGAAGCGTAACACCACACCAGTCCCATCAGCTGAATGTTACAGCATCCAAATATCTTGCATCTGGTGGCACAGAGAAACGGGGAAGAAGCAGTTCTGCCACTCCCGGCAGAGTGGTCTTTGGGAAGACGTTTCCCCTTTTCTCCATCTGTTTCACCTGCTGCCTTTGCCTTGCCTACTTAGATGACGAGTGTTCTCCAGCACGTACCGTACTGGAGCAGCAACCCTGGTCATGTGCCAAAGGATGAACTGCTGTCACCGATTTTGGGCTCTGTTGCCTGACCTGTCACTGCTTATACTCTAAGCACATGAAAATTCATTATATACTTTGATAACAAATGACAGAAAAGCCGTTAAACTACCCAAAAGTGCGCGTGACACTGTGGTTAATGTTTTGTTCCTTAACGTGTACGAGGCCTCTAGAGGGCAATGCAGCATTGATGGAACTGTTGGGTTTTCCATTGCTGTGCCGGCGGTCTGGGATCTCCACACCCCTCTTCCAGTGCTGTGTAACTCAAATGCTAGAGAAATAAATGAGTTTGTCGTCTGAGTACTGCTTGTGTGGTCTACATTATTTGAACTACAGTATGATCCAAACGAGCTTTCAAGATCTAGGAAGAAATGCTAGAAGTGAATGGAAAATTAAAGGTCCTGTAAATAAACTGGCAGAGCAAAGTGACCTTGAAGAGTGTAGCATGCTGCACATAAGAAACAGAAGATAACAGAAGTATTCAGAGTCTTTGTTCGCAGTAAGAGAGTTGATGTAGCAGCTTTTGCACAGGACAAGAAGAAAAAAGTATGTTGCTTACTTTGGAAACAAGAAAATCGTAAGAACAAATATAGGCTGACAAGGCAAGCAGAATCACAGAAAGACTGAATAAAGATGAAACAAACAACGGTGCATTGCCAGGTGTCAAGGAAGAGGGTAGCCAGGGAGGAGGGGTCTTTTAAAAAAGAACGTAAGGTATTGAGAGAAGCCTTTTAAACGAATGAGAGCGAAGCAGATCTGCCATTTACTTACTGTTGAAACGAGCGAGGGAGAAAGGACCATGCTCCAAACTGAGCTTCTCCTTTTGTTTGTGTATGTGGCAGCAAATGCATAACGTCACAGTTGGAAGATCACCTGTGGTTCTAGGCATAGACAACCTATTTCCACACACATTTCTCTAGACCCACTGAAGTTCATAATCACGTTTTCAAATCACATATAAAGATCGAATCAAATACCAAAATATGTAACCAAGAGCTGCAGCCAACCATCTTCTAAAATATTTCCATGAGCTTGTTCCATGCTGCTTATAAAATGTATTTATCCAGGGGTCTGTGCTTAGCAATAAATTAAAATGCTGGGATACGTTAGTCTGTCCCACAAGGCATACAATCTGAATAAGAAGACTCCAAACATCACAACAATTTTCTCTCTTGTAAATAAAAGAATGGAAGCTGTTAGCTATCAATGCATGCCCAAACATTTTTCTTTAAGATCTGAGAAGGAAAAATAGTTTAAACTTAGTAATAAAATACTGTCACATTCTCTTTTAAGATGAGATGAAGCCTTGCTGGTTTACAATATAAGATGCACAGCACTAAATGGCTGACTTTCAGAGCCGCTAGTTCTGCAGTTTCCCAGTTACAGCCTTCAGAGAACAGAGGATTTTTATTAAACATGCTGGAACTGCTAATAAGAATACAAAAGGCCTGAAAATTGGAGGACAAATTGATGAAAATTTCCTATGTTCAGCAGCTATCACAATTTGTGATAAGAATAGCAAAGGTACTCACAAAATATAGCAGATAACTCCTATACTCCACATATCTGTTTCGTATCCAATAGGTTCATAGTTTATTACTTCTGGAGCCACAAACTCAGGTGTCCCAAAGAGAACTTTCAGAGAACCTGCATTTTCTGTGAAGAATGAAAGAGAAAACCATTAACTGCTGCATGCAGCTTTTTAAAAACAATTACTCCCCAGTGACAGAAAAAAAAACCAGTTTTGCCCTCATATTTGTGATTTTGTTAAATACCCTTATAAAAAAAAAATAGTATAATATACATGCTGATATATGTAAAGCAGTAATTATTTATTAAGCATCTTCAAGCATGCAGCACTGTACGAGGCACATAATAAGAGAGTTCTTATCACAAGGAGTTTCCATAAGACCAAGTCTAAGAAAGAGGAGAAATTTTAATGTTAATTCAGATTTGGATATCCTGAAGTACAGAAGTGTTTGAGACTCCATCACTTTAGCAGTTGCACAGGATTCCAGTGTTAGAAAGAAGTTGGTGTTTTCACAAATTATCTAAGTTTTATCAAAGTTCAGGGATCTGCTCAATGATTCTACTGTAAAAAGAAAGAGTAATCAGAAAATTATAATAAAAAGAAATATCAATTTCCATCCAACACATTTTTTTTTCTATTTTCAACAGGAAAGACAATCAATAGCAGCTTGCATGTCTCGGAAGTCTGAAGTGGCACAGGTCAGTGGTGGAACAAGAGAAAAAGCTGACATCCTCCTGTCAGATCACTACCTTGTCAGTAAAACTGGGTTTAACACTGCTCTTAAAACCAGGTTTGCCTACAAACTCACCTGTGGATCTCCAAAGTGGTGAAGGGAAACCACGAATGTTTAGTCCAAGCTTTTAGGCCAATAGCACAGGTGTCCTACCTTGAGCTCTGCTTACACACCATGTGGATGCTTTTAAAATGAGCTACGAGGAAGCTACTGCTAGCAATATGAACTGAAAGAGCGAGGTCCTGGGACATGTGAGCTCACTCTTCATCTTTCTTGTGCTGACCCACTGGTATTGCTCTACTAGAAAATACAGGCATTAAGGTAGAATAACAACCTGTATAAAACCTCGTATGGCCGGTTCTGGTCATAGTGTGAAACACAACACAAGTCATTTAGATAGAACTCATTAGGTAGATCTCAATGGACTCAATTTCATTGATGCTTATTCTAGATAGGGTGGGAAGAAGAAGAATAAGCAAGGTCAGAAAGGAAGAAGACTAAGGAACAGATTAGGGGTTGTGGGTGAAAACAATCCCGGCAAAAATTTTGTATTATAGAAGTATAAAAATACCAGGAAATAAATTGTTTCTGACTTGAACCAGGCTTGTATTTAGGTTGAGAAACTCTTGCCTAATCTGCACATGTGCCTGAACAATCAAGTCTGCCTTAAGTGAGATCACTGCATTACATTTTATCTTCTGTGCAAGATTAGCATCCATTAGACACAGACACAGTAGAATGATATCTCTCTTCTGAAGAGATTCCTATCTAAACACATATGAGTGGGAAGAAAAGCAGATGTAACAGAATCCAGTCCCACTCCTGTTAAGGTTACCACAGGTACAGAGATTTGCAGCTCTGTAATCAAGAGAAAAGCTAAAAAAACCTCAAACAGCAGCAGATCAAAGTTTTGAGAAGACTACAATAGAAGCTACTGGTCCACAATACCGAATCATTACAGAATATTTTTATTTACCAGAACCTCCTCTACCAAGTTTTGCAACGTAAGTGATCCCAATTGATCCTAGTACCAATGCCACACCTACAGCTACCTCCACTGAAAGCTGTTACACTGTTTCGTAAAATGCAGTCAGGCAGCTAAGTTAGTACTCTGTTAAGGCATGCAAATTCCCAAGTTATCAAATGAAAACTGAAGGATATATGGGGCTAATAACTTGCCTAATGACTGAACAGCAGGCCTGAGGCAACTTTTAAGTGTTACCACAGTAATTCACTCAGTCATGCCACTTTCCCATTTTAAATGCTTTGAAACCCTTTTTGCTCTGCTCAGGTATGGTGATAGTAAATCAGTTGCAGAAACCTCATTTTCACATGTTATACCTACTTTCAGAGACCTCTCCATGCAGAGAGTATCCATTTCTAAAGACAGAAACAGAGGAACATCTGGAAGCAGCCCCACGAAATCACCTAGATCCTTCCAGGCAAGTTAATGAACAGAGAGACTTTCCCTGCCAGATGCCTGACTACCCTTTAAAAAGCACATTCAAAAGCTATTCCACAACATCCCTACACTCAACATAACCAGAGTTTTCTCACCCCCAAAAGTTGGGTCATTTGCTAATATCAAATTGAAACTGACTTTGCCTAAAACAAGGGCAATGTCTTCTCCAGGGTGGCAGTGAGGAGTGAGGCATCACCCTTCCTTTTCCAAGCACCAATGGGAAGCATAAGCTTCCATTTTCCCATTTGCCTTCTTTTTAAGGTCAGCACCTAATTTTATTTTTTTTTCAACTGTCCTTATGAAAAATTACCGGAATTTTTCGCGAAGAACCTATTTTCTGAAAGCTTCATCATGATCTTCCCAATGTCAGGCTCAGATTTTCACATCCAAGTTTGGAGGCTTTTCTGTGCACTGTGTAAACTACCATGGGCCACTGTGTATGCAAAAGGCTAATGCATGAAATGTGCTGCCCATAGGTCACAGAAATGCTTTTCTTGAAAACACGGCATTTGAGTGCAAACATACAGTGTGAAACAACTGATACAGCATTTTCTGTGTTTAAAAGAAAAAAAAATAAGACCTTTTCTATGCAATAATATGTCAAATCTTTACCAAGATGTTTACAAGCTCAGTACACAAGTAGGATCTGTGTTTGGATATCTCCTAGGCCAGACAGAAAGCTGACAAGCTAGCTGGAAACTGTTGCTGACACTGTGTATAATCAACTGATTAAGAAAAAAATCTTTACAGTACTCAAAACTCATTCTCATTTCGCCTCAAGAAGTTTATCTTAAACAATTTTCTACGTGTGTTCCTCAGCACACCAAAAAAGGTCAGGAAAATATCCCACTGCGGCGTTGGTATTTCCTGACAGTGTAAGAGAACTAATTAGCTGCAGAAGATGACTGCAGAAGGAGCTCATCCTAATTCCTCTAAAACTGATCAAAACCCTGAATATTTAGTGGCATTAGTTTGCACTAGTTACAGAGAGTTAGCAGTAAATCTCAGAAGCTGAAGTGCAAAATCAGCCGCTATTCCCTTCAGCAGCCCCTTCCTGGTTGAGCGGTTTCTGCTCAGCCAGGGTCAGGCCCATCGTATGAGGGCTCCGAACCCACATCTATCAAAGCCAAAGTGAATTTGACAGCTAATTACAAAATCACAAGGCTTGAAGGAACAGAAGAGGAGTGCGCCCTCAGTGTGCCACAGAAGACAACTGGCAAGAAGAGGGCACTTAGTGAAAAGTGAAACAACAGTTTCAGTGCTGGAACTTGCTTAACAGTTCATTGGTTTCCTCAACAAGAACAAAATCCAGCTTATGCTCCCAAAAAAGTTTTGACTCTATACCGGTGACGGAACATAAATGGAAGCAATCTCTTTTTTAAACAAATGAAATAAAGACCTTATGTCTGAGTTCACAGTGTCCATGTGACCAAGATTCATGTAATACCCTTTTGGAGTTGAACATCATCTAGAAATCTGAAAAGCAGGTTTCTTTTCTCTTATTCATTCAACATACCATTTTTGGTTTGTTTTAGCAAAATTATATTCTTGAGTATGCAGTAGTCTGCTACTTAAGTGCCAAAAGAAGTAGGATGAGCAGCGTGCAGGCAGATAAAAATCAGGAGGCTGTAATTCCAAGCTGTACTCCTGCAGAAATAATTGTTCTACTTTTGTTTAAGGAGGGAAGGCAAAAGGTTACAACTAAGAATCTAGCTGTGGGTCCCTTTATAGAGAGCAGCAATTCATATGAGTTGTCCTGATCAATTTAGTGACAGAAGAGCCACAAATTTCATTTCTTTCAGTATAACAGGTTCATTAAAGTATTTCAGCTCCTCTCAATTCTTGGAGTGCCTTTTTTTTTTCCCTTGGGAAAATACAAGACTGAAAAAGATCAGTGGATGATGTTATTATTTAACACTAACAAACAGAACTGGATGGCTGCTTTTTGTAGCTGAATTTATGCTGAGCAATATGAAGACGAGAACCCTCCAAGGTCTTTGGTTAGCAAATTGCAGAGCACGTTAGAAAGCTCAGTCCAAAAGGAATGACAGGAAGCAGTTAAAACCAGCTTAAGAGGAAGAGCTCATCAAATGTAACTTCCCCCCTCCCCAGTCCCATTGCATTATTTTTAAGTAGTGCTACTTTATTTTATTTTGAGCATGACGAAAACATAGGTCTTTATAAACTTCCTCCCATGTTTAACATGTATGACAATGTGCTGCTGTTTAGGATAAGAAATGATAAAACTAATGGGGAAATGCAAAACGAATGTAATCATGCACATCCAAAAGGCTTCTAGAACATCACCTTAACTCCTACTGTTAGAAAAGTTTCAAGCATTTGTAGTGTTTATGAAGACTGATGTCTTGTTCTGTTTTATAGTTACAGAGTTAGTGGTTTTAGTTTCCTGTGGCAAAAGTAAATATTTATTATTATTACTACTATATATTTTACCCTGTAATCTCCAGGGATACCGTAGCCACAGAAAGAGATAGGTAGATGGTATACGCTTCACTGCAATTTCCTTTCCAGACTTCTCCGGAAAATGAGGTGCCCTGCTCTTACTCTTGAATGTCTTCTTTTTCCCTTTTCTATTTTACCTAAAACCAGAACTACTTACAGGAAGTCTGTCTATTTATTCTTGATACATGGAAGGATATAATAGTAAATATGAATTACTGCTTTTCCTGCCCTTTTCCCCATATCATATTGAAACGAAGTAAAGTCATTACCTAATCTTCTTGCAAGTCCAAAATCAATGAGTTTGATACTTGTACCGGTCTTGTTGACACACATAATATTTTCTGGCTTCAAATCCAAGTGGACAATACCCTGCTTATGGATGTACTGAACTCCTTCTGAAATCTGCTTCATATATTTAATGCACTCTCTCTCTGTCAGTTCAAAGTCTTCATCAATGATTCGTTCAAAGAGTTCTCCTCCAGAAACCCTATGAAAGAGAGAATAAAAAGAGCACTTCTGCAGCATTTTCATTTTGGCAATAATCAAATTATTTCCTTTACAGAAATACAGACAGTTCAATCTTGCAGTAGTCACTTCAAGACACTTTCCATACACACAAGGATTGCCTAGGAAGAACCATCTCTTGTGTGTGGTATAAATCAACAGATTTTTTTCCATTATGAATCTCCCAGGTTAGGACTGTGGAACACTAATACTGTTATCCCAGGCAGGAGACGGGATTTACATCCTGCCTTTAGGATTCAGTCACCTGCAACTGGCAGTATAGTGTGTGTCACCTGCTTGTCACCCCACACACGTGTTGATAACACCGCTCGCGGCTCTAAGCTCATGTTTCTCACTGCTTCCTTCCCTCCTATCCTCCATCACCATACAAGTGCTGATAACATAATTTAGAAACAAAGAAAACTAGAATTCATGGGATGGGTCCCAGGCAAAGAGGACAAAACTCCTAGTAGATGAGCAAAGTTATGGGAAGAAGAGAACTCAAGAGTTACAAAGAAAGGCTGAAGAACGAAGAATTCAAATGATACGGTTAATTGGAATGCAAAGCTCAAAGGGTAAATTACTGACCCAAGTGAACTCACAGGGAATTTCCTCCTTAGCTATGACAGGACAAGGATATAAGCCATAACTCTTTCAGTAATGGTATTTTCAGCTGAGCCATCATCACAGGTCAATTCCATATTTATGCTTCTTTTAGATGTGAAATAATTGGTCTTTCCAGGGTAGAATCTCCTGGATTGAACTCTTTGTCAAACTAAAGTGGGATATTTTTAATTTAGATTAATTAACACAAATTTTAAGTTGCCATTTGTTAGTTTATTTATTTGTTTTTAAATTCTAAGTTATGTCCAAAGATGGGAAATACTGTTTTTGTGTGTAGTGGGTGAATGACCCACACAGAAAGGTGCAAATGGTGAAGAGCATCTTTGCTTTTAGAAATCTGTTCTAAATTAAAAACTCCATGGTCTTTATATGGCTTAACATTTTGCAGCATTCATGCTTACTGCAAAATATAATTGCACATTTCAATTACAGAAAGAAAACATGGAACTGAAAGCTGGCCTTGCTGTGTTCGCAGGTTGCCAGACATATGATTGCAACTGTCATGTACTGAGCTGAAATCTAAACATATGGATTTCTGGATGCATTTGTTGCTTTGGTTGTAAGATCTCAGAAATTATATAATTAGAAATGCTACTGCAGTTTCCTATTAATGAGAAAATAGTCAGAATAACATATGCTTGAAAAACTGAGAGGTTATGCTAGATTATAGCACATCTGTAACAGAAAGCCTCTAATATGGCTAGAGCTGTTGGGGATCTAGTATTTTGTTACTTCAGTAAGACACCAACTAGTATGGAGGTGTTTATGGAAACATCTGTATGCAAAATGTTTATACCTGGAGCACTCTGCGATTGCAAATAATAACCATCCTACGCTAAAAAGTACCATTTTTTTCTGACTGTTTAACACAGATAAGGAGTTATTTTTACTATAAGTGCTGTACTTTTCAGATCCCTAAAGTGAAACATTTTTGGAAAACATACTATTGTCTGAAGTACCACTTTTTAGCATATTATTCAGAAATTAACTACTCGTTTAAAAAATGGTTTATTACAAAGTTTTGGTCTTGGAGGAACAGTGAGAAGAATCTGCCATGGAGTTGTTCAGGCAAAGAGTCAACTGCATTTTTATAAATGCTTCTTTCAAAAAAACAAAAGAGAAAACCTTAGTGACCTGTGCCAACTTCAATCACCACAAATGAATGGAGTTTACAGCTGAAATTTTGCTTTGATAATCTTAATTTGCAATACAATAATCTTCTTCTGGTCTATGTCAAAATAAACTGACTATCTGAAGTACATAAAAATTTAAAGGCACTTAGGGTTAGTGCTGAATGCTACTGTTTTTCAGATATTCTTTTTCCACTGAGATGCTTATTGTGGAACGAGTACAGCACTGCGTTTGAAAAGGAGATGCCTGCAATTTGTCCCTGACTTGCCGCAAATGGTAGATGGGAGGGTTTCCAGGGAAGAACACATCAGGTGATTTGAATCATTTTAGTGTTTGATTTTAAATGAATGATCAAAAATACTGAATTTATTATAAATATGAAATCAAACCATATAAAGTAGGGACATGACAAATATTAAAAGGAGAGAGGGTGAAGTTCAAAAAGTTATAAGAAAGATACAGGAATAAAATTAAAATTAAAAATTCAGGATGAATAGCAGGAAAAAAAAATCCAAAGGTGCTCCTCATCGAGAGCTTCAATTTGAGTGGACTGGTGGCAGGTGACCTTGAAATTCATACATTTAGACTTTTACAGCAATAAAGAGCACGGCTTGGATACTAAGAATTTTTGAAGGTATTTCCCACAACTTCTTTGATAAGCAAAGAGGTAGCAGGTTGATAGCTAAACCCAGAAGGATCCATCAGTGAGTGGCTTTCTAATGATACAGGCACAGTTGCCATGCAGGGACTGTGTCACCTGGCTAACATGACAGTACAGAGGCTACCAAGTCACCAGACACAAAGATTCCACATGAGCATGGCACTGCCCAGCCCCGCTCCCAAGCAGGGACATGCAGCTCCTGTCTGCCTGCTGCTGCTTAAGAACCGCTTCTCCTGCGGCTCTCAACACCATGGAAATTTTAGTGGAGGGGTTCAAAAGGCAGAAAAAGTGGCCATCACAAACTAAAATCACATCCTAATTAGACTGGTTAACAAAACAACTTTAAATTTGATTGCACTTTTCTGTATTTTTACAAAGTAATCCCCCCTTTTGCAGGGGGTAACTAATGGACCGTAAAGCCATATGCTATTCAAAACTCTTTATACATTTCCTTGTTTTCCATTAGGTCTGCCAGCTCCCAATTCCAAGCTAAGCAGGACTCCCTTCCCTTACTGTCATCAGCTTCCTCAGCTGCTGAATCTAAAAATAAAAGCACCTTCTTGCACTTAATTTCAGAGGTTGTATAATGGAGATCCAGTCCCTGAAATGTGCTGGTGCGATAGTAGTTTGCACATAACAGAGACAAGTGCCAAGCAAGCAGCCTAGACATATAGTCTCTTTTGCTTCTAACAACTTATGTCTTATTCAGCACTTCCAGCCAGCAAGAAAACTGCTTCTCCTTGCAGCAGTTAGCCTGTGAAGAAGATGTGGCAGTGGAACAGTGACTGGTGTAACTTCTAAGGGAAACCAGCAGCACAGATCAGTATTTCATTTTGTTTCTAGCTGCTACTGCCACAAGTGTGGGATTCACACTAAGCAGGTGCGTTATCAATGATGCCAATGGACATGTTGGTCACTGCTGGTTTTGAAGTCTGACCATGCTGTCTTTTCTTAGAATGAATTCTGGTGCATGAGCACGTTCTGAACCTTCTTTTTTTTTTTTTTTCTGGAAGTAAATATCTACCTTTAAATACAAAGACACCCAAATCACTGCCCTGTGAGATGCTTTACAGGACTGCTTTTGTGATGTGTTTCTGCTGCTTCCCATAGCAGTGTGGCATAAGTAGCTCAAGTAAAACAGTTTCTTGGAGGTAAAAAATAAGTGTTGCTACCTTAGTCGGCAAGAGCAAGACAGCAAACATAGGCCGTCTTCAAATTCAGCTTTACTTAACTGTGTAGCTTTGGATGAAAAGTGCAATGACTTTCAAGTAAAGGAGAAATTCCCTTCTGCAACTATTAACACCTAGGCCAGCACAGGGAATCTGTGCTTTGACATTAGGGGTAGATGATGCCATGTTTAATTAGGTGTGTTTTTGGAGAACCATCTTTCTGCATCTACTATTCTAGATTTAGAACATTCACTGTGTTCACCTATGGAGACTTTTTAGACAGCACTCCCTTATTACACGTAAATCTCCTGCAATCAGAGTATTTATGTTGCTGCAGGAAAAACACATCAGATGATCTCTTTTAAGGTCTCTTGAAAATATAACTGGATGTAGCACTTGATGAAAACTAAAGCATTCCCAATACCTTTTGGGTACTATAAATTTGCCTGCTTGGATTTTTCATGAAAATTCAACTATTTAGTTAGAATGTAGCTTAGATGTTTGCTTTCTCAAGCATATCTTTCTCTTCTACTATCTGTTGTGCACCAATATTCAATTCTCTGCAAGAGAGAATCGATTAGTATTTAAGTGAAATTTGATACAGATTTCTTCAGTACAAGTTTAGAACTCCCTCAGGAAAGAAATATTTTTTCTCGTCTTTAAACATGTTTTTGATTCAAAATACAAGCCCAAATTGCAGCTGACTTTTCTTCTCTCCCTCCCAAGCTGGTAATAAAAGAGTGAGCTGCAGGAAAACATCACATGTACTGATTAAAAACAAACAAACTAGACAATAAAGACTGTAACACATCTCCACTGATTTTTAAGAGATACAACACAGTTTCACTTACACAGTTTAAAAAAGTAGGATAAATAATTGGAAAAACTTGCAAAATGTGAAAACCATCCAGGCCCTGCAGATCTTGAAGCTTTTGACAGTCCCGTGTCTAGGTGAGTTGCTACTTTTGCATGCACAATTATTTTCAACATTATTAGCTTTTTTTAGTGTGATCTGCTTTATACTTACATTTCCAAGACCATAACGATGTTGGCTTTTTCTTCAAAGGCATCTATGCATTGGACAAGTTTTGGATGATGTAGACAGTTCATGATGCTGATTTCATCCCGTATGTTTTCTTTTTCCTTAGCAGAATATGCTTTGAAAAATTTTCCTGCCCAAACTTTTCCAGTCTTCTTTTCGACAAGCCTAAAGACTTGTCCAAATTTCCCCCTGAAAATATATAACTATTTCCATAAAACGTTTTTGCAATATATGGGCCACCATGAATAGCAGCGGTTTACTAAATATTTCAGTGCAATCACTCCATTCTGAAACGTCTTCATACCAAGTACCATTTTGTACTGATTTGTGCAGAGTAATCTGCAAGAACTTTTGCAGGAATACCACATGTAGAGATACTCTGCTATTCCAACTAGCAAGTTTGATATAAGAGGCTTCAAAAATGGGCTCCTACCAGGCTTTCATTCACGTGACTCATGTTTTCCTGCACAGTTTTCTATGGGTCATACACCTCTGGAGGGGCAGCAGATAGGAGACATCTCAGGTATAGGACACAGGATGTAAGTGAAATCAGAATCTAAATGCCAGAGGCCTCAGTACTATTATTTCACATTGCTGGGCAGCTACAGTTCTACCTCTGCACTGCACTAATCCAGATTCTTTAATGGCAGCACATGGGATCCCCTGGCCTTCAGCACCACCAGCAGTGCGAATCACTGAAAGATTCTCGTGGCATGCAGTTCACAGAACCACGAGTTTGAGCCCTGAGAACCAGCCAAGCTAATCACTGACCTTCACTGAGCAATACTACTAATGCTCTTGGGATTATGACCGCTGTCAACAGAGATTCTAGCCCATGGGCAGGATAATCTTATTACCGCTAATGGATATAATGGAAATGCAAGTACACAATATGTACCTTTTTTTTAGCTGGCTTTCAGACTACTGAACAACGAATGAATCATCTAACTGTATTCATTTGTGAGCTCCATTTTCCTTGCCAGAAATGCATGTAGTACCTATTTAAAATTATCAATTAATAGGAATAAAGGATGTTTATGGAGTGGAGGCCAACATATCTCAAAAACTATTTTTACTGCAACAGATGAGCCCAGATGGAATGCTGAAAGTGCAAGACACCATCAAAGAATGAATGCATATGATCTTTATAATTGACTGTTAGCCTTGAAAACTCTTGTCTTCAAAAGCACAGTACAGTACTTACGATCCAAGTCTTTCTTCAATATTATAGACATCTGAAACTTTTTGTTCAGTGTTGATAGTAACTGTCCGATACTCGACCTCTGTTTCTTTCCCTTCTACAAATAAGTATTAAAGATCATGATTAAAACCTCCATAAAACATGAATTAAAACCACAGATTTGCATTTGTCCTGATTAAACTATGAACTTCTTACCATCATCAGAGAGTTCTGCTTCGTCCTCTTTAACTTCTGTGATGGAAAAAAAAAGGACATGAATCACTTATTATATAGGATACAGTACTTACATAAGATAGTCAAATTATTCACAGTAGCATGGGCAACTGGTAGACCCTGTGGCTAAGAAGCAAAAGACAGTCAGGGAGTTTGTGCATTAACTTAATAATTAAAATCTCTTCACCACTTCGATGTGACTGTTGACTGCACAATCACAATCGGGTCACCATTACTTAATAAATCAAGTTTATGTGTTTTGTAGTACTTGTCTAATGTACCTGCCTACTAGAAACAAAGGCATGCTGAATCAGTTCAAAGTGATCTAATAAATAGCTTTAGGAATGCCTTAGTGAAATAGAAAACAAATTAAAAGTATCAGAATCAATAAGAACACTTCTGTTCAGTGATGAATCTTTGTTCAATGATGAATCTTGCTCTTCTATGCATTTTTTGGATTGTAAAGCCAGAAGTAAAGCAAGTTTGAACATGAAAAGATTTTCTGCAAAGCATCCAGACAAATTTTTCAGACTCAAGATGACTAGAAAATCTGGACAGCATGTACCTTCCTGAACATGACTGAATTTTGAAATCATTGAGGTCCAAATGGAGCCTCTGTTCTGCAGGTGTACTCAAAGGCAGGCAGAGGTGTTGGCAAGCCCAGTGACATGTGACAGAGTAAAATCTAGCCTGAGTGTCTTGATTTTCATTTTTAATTTTCATGTGTGTGAACTCTCAGTAACGCTGTTTGTGTGTGGTTCACTACGTTGCCTGCAGGTATGAGGGGAAGGGGGTTTTAGCTGGAATGTTGTTGTGTATTACTTGCCCTGTTTGGGCTTGCTCCTGAGACCTGTGGCTCTGACCAGTAACTTGAGAAACTGCAAAGGCACAGTGACCTGTACAACTCTCCCTCTAGCTGCTGAGGCTGCACTTCGCCATCGCAGACTGCAAGCCTAACCAAGTGATTTATACCCACTGTGTCAACAGATTTATGTTATGAAACATTAATGCGGTACTCTCAATGCTCTTAGGTGCTTTAGAGTATAGAGTTATATGCAGTGGATGAGAAGAAAATAACAGAAAAAAGGGTGCATGGTGAGCAGATAGCTGTGTGATGCACGAGCATCACCTTTTGACATCCAACACACAATACTGCATCTGTATTGAGGTAGCAAATCCAATCAAGTAGATATTATCTGTTACTAAAGCCCTCTCGCTTTTTTTTAAATTCTGGATTTGCAACCTTTGTATGACCCAGCATGGACTAGGTGTTGCAGCGATTTACCAGAAGGGCAGGGAGGGAAGCAAGTTCTCCCCACTCGGGTAGCTGTCCTCAGATCTTTCTCAGCTAGAAACCACACTTGCACAGAGCACATCACATTTTCCTCCCCTTTTAAGGGCTGCACAAGGGAGCTGATTCCAACCATGCTGCCAGTAGTTAGCGTCTGCCAAGTACTGATGAGACAAAGAAGTCAGTTCCCAGTTCTGCAGCGACACTATATTGAAGCCATGAACTAGAAACATTTTGGTCCACCAGTGGAAGCCTAAATTAGATAAGCAGAACAGATCAGAGCTTGGTAAGCACTGAGTAGCTGTGCTAAAACCTTCTTCAGAAGTGAGTCAGTGGTACCGTAATCTGTTGTGACTTACAACCTTATTTTAGTAGATGTTTTCTGTAAGTGCACAGTGAAAAGTTAGCTATGTCTTTTTTCACTAAGACTATATGGAAATTGCTAATTTGCACTGGCCACCTCAGTATGAAAATTAGTAATCAATCTTTCTGGCAGCAATGGAAAATCCCTGGTTACTCAGCTAAAATGTTTACATAGATGGCAGCTTAAAGTCCTGGCTTTGAGAGGTGCTGAACACATGCATTTTCCACTGCCTTTAATTAAAGCATCAGTTATGTGAACACACACTTGAAAAATAACGCTTTATGTGACTTGCCCTTTCTCCATGCTAGCTGCAGTATCAAGAACTGAAATCAAGAAGCCCTGGCACTGAGAGCACCAAGATAATCCATCCTCTTGCAAACAGAATACACCTTCTTTTCACTCAAAATCATTTTTAATTGTTTTCTGTATGTGCCACAATGATTCACAGTCTTTCTAGCCTTTTTGTATTAAATCTGTGTAAGAAAATTCCCAGCCTTTAAAAGAAAAATAGTATAAGCAGTACTTGCTCAATGAAAAACAAACATAGTGAAGAATCAGGCCCCCAGCTGTAGAAAGTGCTTGTCCTGCAGCTAAAGAAAGAGGGCATTCAAACACAGGGAATTTTATTATGAAGGGCCAATACTATGTAGCTTCCTTTCAAATTTATTGCTAGTTTAAATGCTATTTTCTCCCCTTTGAAGGGAAGATCCATCTTGATTTAGATCAGGCTTTATATCTTCAAAATACAGGAAAGTAATTTCTCATAGTGCATACAATTTAGCACTTGAAGAGAAATATGATTTACTTTTGTTTGGAAATGTCTGTTGAGAGGCTTACATAGTTGGGTGATGCTGCACCACTTTGCTGTCATTTTGTCTTGCTGTGGCAAGAAAAGATAACATCAAAAGGATTATGTGACACATTCAGAACTCCAAAGCCCTGCATATGTACGTAAGGGAAGAGAGATACGACACACGGTGCACTCTTCAAAGAAGGAAAAATGGCAAAATACATTACATTGCTCTGTTTGCAATGGCATGTAGCAATAGGATGAGGGGCAATGCTTTTAAACTAGAGCAGGGTAGATTTAGACTAGACGCTTGGAAGATGTTCTTTACCACAAGGATGGTGAGACCCTGGAACAGGTTGCCCAGAGAAGCTGTGGCAGCTCCCTCCCTGGAAATGTTCAAGGCCAGGTTGGACGGGGCTTGGAGCAACCTGCACTAGTGGGAGGTGTCCCCACCCATGGCAGGGAGGCTGGAACTAGGTGATGTTTAAGGTCGCTTCCAATCCAAACCATTCTATCAGGCTATGACTCTGATTCTATTCCTGATTTGGGCTTTTTGGTGTGGTATGACTACCAAAGAGGTCCTTGCACAGTGGGTAGATGTGGGTATGCACAAAAATCTGCATTCAATATCTGTTTTTTAGAAATAATGCTGATTTTTGCGTGTGTGTACAATTTTGGTACCAGTTTACAAATAATTTTTGAAATGCTCCAGCTCTTCTTATCTTCTTATCTTCTTAAGATATTGAGAATATCTTAAGAAAAAATAAGAGGCAAAAGATACTGAAAAATATTTTTACAAGTACTTGTGATTATAATCAAAAACCTTTAAAAAATTTTTAGCACCCATCATGCTGCAAAACAAACATGCTAAGTAGGATAGCCTTGAATTCACAAGTTTGGGGTACTAGGGGCAACAGGACTGAGGTGCTCTGCCACACTAGGATTTGAAGCAGGTGTGAGAGGCTAACTCGGTTTCTGCTGCATATTCAGTGCTTGGCTAGCAGCAAGCACATTACATTTTCCAAAAGCAAATTTGGGATAGTGTTTATGACTCGTTTTTCCATGCTGTGTCCAGTGTAAACTGTAATGAATCCATCAGCAAGTTTCAGGTAAGCCACCAAACAACATTTTCTAACTGGGCACAGCCCGAATGTGTAACCTGTGTGTGAAATGTTTCATCTTCCATTACCTCCACACATTACCTACAGCAGTCTGTCAGCCAGCACTCACAGAGTAAGCCAGAAGTCATATTACAGGTTGCTTTCACAAGGCAGGGTTTTAGGATGCCTGAAGTGAAGTTTCCACACTGGCTGCATGCAAAACTCAGATGCTTAGACACCTACATGAAGTCTGCAAAGGGATTTCAGCACACTTACAGCCAGCATAAGCATTCCTCGCACAGAGGCGCATGTGAAGGAATGTGTGCAGCTGCCTGACCTCACTGGGGAACTGTTAGGGTGTCATTTAATTGAATTTAGATTTATTTTTTTTTCCTCTTCACAACTAACCTTCTTGTTTCTCTCCAACTTTTACCAGCTCAGATTCTTGACTGGGCTCGCTGATGCCATATACGTTAGCAGCTCGCACACGGAATTTGTACTCCCGGTCAGCCTGCAGGTCCTGCACATTGAAAGAGGTGCTGCGGCAGGTAGTGAGATCTGTCCATTTGTTATCCACTGAGTTCCAGATCTCCACAGTGTAGGATTGCACTGCACTTCCACCGTCGTAAGAGGAGCCGTACCACGAGAGAGTGAGGGATGAACTCCGTATATCTGATGCGCAAGGTGTTCCGGCAGGCGGGTCTGGTTTATCTGCAGAAACACGCACAAAGCTCATTAGACGAGATCGTGAGGGTGAGAGGTAGGACTTCCACTAGGACACCACTGGCCCTAGCCAACAGCATTTTTCTTTCAGTGCTGTTGCTCTGCTTCAGAGGTTTGTACTATAGGGTGAGGAACAACTGCAGCACAGACATACCTGCGTTAAGGAACACAGACGCCAATGCCACACAGGCCTCAGCATGGGTTGTTCAGTTCCCATGAAGCCATGCCGAAGCCCAATGCCCTTCAGAGCTATCATTACAGAAACTATGGAGACCAAAACCAGTCACAGCTGTGCCTGCAAGTACTGAAATCAAATCTCCCACAATAGTGCAAACTGCTCCTTGGTGAACTTCCTTAGAGGTTTATCCCTGTTTCAGTCACCATAGCTGTGATGCTCTTCCTCCAGCTCCCTTCATACTTCAGGGCCACTACTGACCTCTCACAGCCTCAGAATGTGCCACCTGTCCAGCTGTACCCAGGTGGCAGAAATACTAAAACCAGTTTGTTGTCACAGATCTTGACGAGTGACAAATTTGTCTGCTAACAATGAGGTGAACAACTTGGCCTATGTGCAGCTTTTGGAAGCCCGATGTGCTTTGTAGTATAAAGGAATTCAACTTAGAATGTATCATGTATATATTCAGATTCTTTTAATTTCATGTGCTTTTTTGGAAATGGTTGGGGAGGTGGAAGATAGGAACTTGGTTTTTTCTTCAGTTAGAGTCTTGCTCCCCAAGTCCTCATTTGCATGAATAGAGCCAATATCACCAGAACCTGTTGTGCATATGAGCAGCTAACTACGCAAACACTCGATACAATACAAAAAACTTGCAGTTATATGATCTTTTCAAAGTGATGTTTAATGATTATATATTCATTAAAATGGATGTTTTTCTAAGACAGAAAAATGTTGCCTTTATGAAAAAAATTACTAATTAAGAAAATGATTAGGAAAGTTAAGTACTTCAAAAGACTTTAAAGGGAAAAAATATCTTCCTTGAGAATAATCCTCTCAGAAGCAATCTAGCAAAACCTACAAAATAATGATGATGTTGATCTGGATGAACTAGTGGCCAAAGGTTGAATAAGAAATCAAAGGATGGGATAAAATGACAGAAGATGAAAAGAAAAGGATAGAAAGTGTGAGGTGCTACAAACAGTGGTTACACTAGACAGACTGATAAAATCCTGTCCCATTTTGCTTGTAAAACTGCTAATGGGCATTATCACTTTTTCCTTAAGAAAGTGAGAGCTGGCAAACCAGCCAACAATATGGCCACTTTTTCAGCAATAAAAACATCCAAATGCTGGGGGAAACTACTGTGGACTTTGATCAAAGCCTTATTGTGGTAGACTATATCAGTTATTCCTCCATACTCAAATTATCATTCCTAGGAAAATCACCAAGCAGACAAAAATAGCCACAGTTTGTCACAAACATGCCTTTAGTTCTTGGACAGACGGACCTCTCCTCTGACTGCTGTGGTTTTACTCATAGGGAGTGAAAACGGGGTAGTCTGATCTGCTCAAGACAGTTAAATAGCTGTTCACTGTTTGGAAGAGCACAAGCTCTGTTGGTGAACTATTTCCCTTAAAAACACTTATCATAGAATCACAGAATGGCCTAGGCTGGAAGGGACCTTAGAGATCATCTAGTCCAACCTCCCTGTTTTGGGAAGGGATGCCATCTCTCGACTAGATCAGGCCACACATGGGGACCGAGCAGGAATCGAACCCGCGACCTCGGTGTTGGTCCTTGTTGCCAGCACCACACTCAAACCACTGAGCTAACCGGCCCCCTTCTGTAATTCCTTTTAGTTAAGCTGTAATGGAAAATCCATCTCCCTCCACAACTTAAATATATCAGGAATTTCTAAACAGAACTTGGTAAGTATGAGGGAAACGAGGGAGAAAGGGAGATGGACACCAAGGGTTTGCTGCTGCACTCAGCATGAGAATGCCCAGCGGAAGGCTTGCCAGAATGTCGGTTATCTTTATTCATTTTGGCAATTCATTTTGGCAACACTTAAAACACTATTCTGCTAGGAGTCATCATTATACAGTACATCTCTCATTAAACACAAATATCAGAGACCGGATGTCCTTAACCTCTGGAGCAGCTTGTTGCCCTCCTGTGTTGTCACTTTTTACTCACCTCATTTTCTAGCAGAATAAAAGGGACTACTGAGAAACATGGATTTATAGTGTAGATACCATGAACTGAACCATAGAGAAGTTACATGGTTTGTCCAAGATTACAGAGAGAGAGCATAGCAAAGAGGAGAACTGAATCTTGACCTCTTGGTGCCCAAACAGCAGCACCCCTCTTCCCGGCACTAGTCCTGCCCCAGCCTTCTTGGAGCTGCCAGAAGTGAGAATTCAATGCTCACACCACTCACAATATCAGAATGCTTGTACAATACTAGAGCAGCTGCCAGAGAGCTGGTTGTGTGGCACACGTGGATTATATGATTTTAGTCAAACAACAGTGATAGCCATCTTCTTTTCACTACAACCTACTCTCCATGCATACCTTGTAGGGAATGGTGCTACCTCTGTATTCTTCAAAATCTATACAGAAGAAGAATCTTCAGTTCTGTGCCTTGTTTTCCCCCTATATAATCATCATTGCATCATCTCAAGATGCAGACAGAAGAACTTGGATAAGTAACAGCTGACTTATCCCAAATCCAAACAGAGCAGTTGCTGATAGCAAGAGGAAAATACTTTGAAGAAAAAGCTAAGGCAGTAGTCTATCACCTTACAGAGGCATCTGTTCGGGTTTGCCAAAGTAGTGCAGATTCTCTGACATCTGCTATGCACACAGCTAAATCTGGACAGTATGTCTTTGGTGTTGTTTTTTTTTTAAAAAAAAGTTAGCTTGCTCTAATGCTCTGCATGGAATTTTTACGTTGAAGGAGGAAAGAATGCATATGCTTCAGTCTTTGTGGAGCACAGTAGCCTGCTTTCTGCGCAGGACATGAAAATACTGTCTCTCTTTGCTGGCTTCCAACACACTTCTGTTTTCAAATGAAACTGGGCATGATTTATCAGTTGCCTAGGCCACAGTTACCTTAGTGACCTCTCTTTCCATGACTCACCTAGATAACTGCAATCCATTCGGCCAGCACAGTTTACAGAAGCAAGGCTTAGGTATGTGTGCACTGAAGAGAAAATATTCATGACCAAGGGAACATAATCAGAAAAGAAAATCCTACACGGCTTTAGTCTAGTATCTATGAGCCTTGGGAATATTTCTACTTTCCTAATAAATTTTTCGCAGAAGTCAATGACAAAAACCTGCAACCTTAGGTGGAATCTCAAGAGGCAGAAAGATGCATGTTTTTGTTTGAAGTCTACCATGTGTCGCTCCTTACAGATCTGCTCAATGTATAAATACTGGGCTAGGGAGATCATAAACCAGAATGAAAGCCTAATCTTTGCTCTTTCTTAATATGCCAGACGTATACGTACCATTTTACCATGCTTAAAAGTATTTCATATCAGACTGGATGGCATTCTACAGCTCTGCACATTCAGAGAATTTGCAGATGGTCTCTCCATGTATTTGTTTTGTTTCTCAAGAGTTTATTCTATGGGGATTTTAAAGGTTACCCTTTATTCATCTGTCTGTATTGAAAGCTAGGAAATTTTGCCAAAATACATTCCCTTCTGAAAAATGAAATCTCTATCAGCACAATTAACTGGTTCCAATAAAAATATCCAGTGGACGGAGGAGGGGTGTGGAAATCAAGCACAATTCTCTATTTTGTCCTTCTATTTTAGCTTTTAGCATACCATTAGTGTCCTTGATCTGCCCATCTTCAAGATTTCACTTGCCTGTCATGTGTAGTCTTTTACACACACAAACATATTCAATACTTAGGCTTATATTGTGAGGGCTTTACATAGGCGTCACAGGATCACAATTTTATTCTTCCTATCCTGGACCAAACCATAGCCACAAGCCAACCTGTGAACTGGAAGGAAGGGAATTACACACTGCTCCTTGTGAACTTTCCTATTTTAAAATATCAAGTTGTGACTTCAGTTTCACTGCTATATGCAACAAAAGAAATGTATATATTCTTCACCAGAAGATGTCTTAACTGTGTGAAACCAGGGGTGTGCCAGCCTTTTCTAACTTGCAGCATGCACATAACATCAAGATCAGGATGTAGTTACATTTTATGTAATTGTAGATTGTCACAGTCAAGTTGGCTGTCCCCACAAAATCCTGTTGAACTTGGTTGGAATCCTACAAACTCCATCACCTCCTTTGTAGCAGACAGCACTTAAACCTCTTGTACTAGGATGCATGGTCACCTCACTTGCCTAATATTAGGACTGCAGAAGCTAACAAGATAGCTGGAGGCTGGACAGTTAAATGCTAAGGGGGACTCAAGCACAAAGCTCCCCACATAATCTCTGTAGGAGTATCAGTAGGGCTGCCCCAAGCTGGCTCCCAAAGCCTGATGGCAAGCAGAGGAGATGGCCAGACAGCTAATTTGGCCTCAAGCCTGCCCCAGGGATGGTTCCAGAGACTGCGCGAAGTCACTGACACCAGTGGCACAGAGGATACAGCAGCAACTCCAATGTGCCATACACCGTACACCACACACCATCCACCGTACCGAGGGGACTAAGGGGAGAGGAGATGATGTGAAGGAGGGCTCTACCGCTTTCCAACTTTTGTGCTCCAGCAAACTAGACACAGATTAAAAAAAAAATACTTCCCAACAAAGTGAGACATAAGCGACTGCTACCCAAGAGCAAGGAGGTCAGATTCCCGTTTATTCTTTTTGTGGCATGCATTCCTTGGGGCAGATGGGAAGCTCAAGAGCTGGCCTTGACGGAAATGTACAAGCCACATGTAAGACCATAGCAGGATTGAAACACGCACTTCTTATTTACTCCCAAATTGAATTCAGCTGCATTCCTTCCTCAGACAAATTCTCAGAAATACTTTGGTAAACAGGTTTTGATAT